GTAACACATGCCAAGCTTCACGCACTAAACCCTAAACCTGAAGGTTTTTGGAGCCCCAGGGCTCTCTGCTCTCCTAGTCGAGCCCCGAAGCTGAAATCAAACCAGTTCGTCCTCTGGTCTATACTCCCGTTTAGGGTTTAGGGTTTAGGGTTTAGGGTTTAGGGTTTAGGGTTTAGGGTTTAGGGCCGATTAATCAACCCCTTCCCCTTAAATCCTGATATTAGGGTCCTTACAGAAAGGGTGTGAATTCATCAGGGATCTACATTACTTACAAAAGTCAGGCTCCGGCTTGCGATATCAAGTTTAACGGCTTAGGGATTAAAGAGGGTTTAGGGTTTTACGGCACGCCACAAATCCTGTTGATTAATCTGCCTCCGGGCACTAGCTGATTTCAATGCACGAGCATCGGAAGGAGCAAAAAGTTCCAGCTCTAGTGTCCACCAGAAGTCTTGACGTAGCAAATCCTAGTCATGATGACGATGATGTGGAAGTCCAGTCTGATGGTCCAAGTGCTTTTATGCAAGTTGTCAAGCTTCCTCGGCTCAAGCAGCGTTGCAGTGCGCACGGTCTTTCCGTGAGCTTTTGCGCAAGCTGGCAGGCCATTCCCCCCAGGCAGGGTCACTGTTTTGGCTTCAGCCTATATAGTGCATGGCTTAAGCGCTTAACTTTCGGTTCCCTTCCATATACTACGAGCCCAAGCGAGCATTCGGTGCAACATGTCCATAAACGTGTTCGTGGGTGGTTTAGGGTTTCGGAGGCTTGGGGTCCAACTCCCAAGCCTTTCCAGCTGCAGTCTAGGGCCCTACTCCAACCAAAAATAAACTCCAACTTCAGCATTCCTAGCCCCAGAACCCAAATCGAACCCCCAGAAACCAAATACAAATCCGAGAACCTTGAACCCAACAACAGCAAATCCATCTCCTAAAACCTCAGCCAAATTCCCCAAACCCTACATGTTGAAGTCCCGGTAAACCTCAAAGCTCGCGTGCAGAGGTGGCGAAGTTCTCCTGGCTGGGTTCCAACGTCACTGTCGCCGTGCCTCTGATTCTGGGTTTTCGACACCGCAAACAGAAAAGCATTCCAACACGCGCTATGGAGTGGGATATCCCTACTTGTTTGGCTTACTTGAACAGCCTTATGGTGGTTGTTAAGGTGCTTTGTCGGCCACTCCTTGCCTTTGTGCCCACGAGGGTGCATTTAGGGTTTAGGAGGCTTAGGCTTATTTGGGCCAGAGAGTCGTGCACAGGGCTCTTGCAGGTTTCAAGTTCCAGGTTTGGGGTTTGGGTTCAGGGTTTCGCCTTTAGCGTTTGGTTTTGGCTTCCTGTGCCCAGCATCAGCTCATGGAGCACTGCACCTGGGCCATCCGAAAAAGAGGGCACGACCACAGCAATCAGACTTGTTACAGCTTTATGCTCGAGGCAAGTTGTTGCAACCAAAGCGTGCATCAAGCGCCGGGTAGCTCCAAGATCTTGGCAATGTTGCCCACAGTCATGCTGCGTTACTTTAAGCTGATGCTTCTGTGTCTTCTGAGGGAAGGGTCTGTATTCGGGTCAAGGACGGAGGTTGTCACAGAATTAGCCAACGAGACAGAGATCCACGCCGATCCTCAACCTGCACTGTGTGCTGAGAAAACAGCACTGTGGCACGGCGAGTGTGTTGACTGCAAGTCTCGACACCTGCTGTGCAGCACGAAAGGAAGCGTCGCGGCAGATGCTCAGCCAGAGCCGGGGTATGCCAAGTTAAGTGCAGGCGATGCGAGAGCTTATCGTTGCCTGCCTCCGGCCAAACGCTGCGAGCCTGATCTCACCAAGCCAAATGCATCCAGCACCGGGCTGGGCTGCGCTATTGGCTACACTGTCCCTTTGTGTGTCGCTTGCGATGTGGATTATTTTGCCAGTGGCACTCAATGCAAGCATTGTGCGAAAGCATCACAGTCTGCTGCAGTTCGCTGGGCGCCGGCTCTTCTGGCGATGTTGCTGGTTTTTGCCGGGGCTGCCTACTATTGTTGGAGGTCCCGCATGGACATCAATGCGGACGTCAATAGCCTAGATGTGAAGCCGAAGCAGAGCGCTGCCGGAGTCCTGAGGCAGCTCATTGTTCTACAAGCTCCGCTACTGTTGCAGCTGGTGCAGCTTTGGTCCCTGCTAGGAGGGCTAGAGCCAGAAGTTGTTGGCAATAAAGAGCTCACAACGGCAACGTCCTGGAGGGGCCCATGGGAGCTGGCTTATGTCAAGACTTTGCTGTTGTCTGCCCAGGATTTACAAGGCATCGTCAATATCCAGTGCTATGGAGATGGCACTTTCATACGGTCCATGACGGCCATCATTTCACCAATGATTCCTTTGTTCCTGCTTCTGTGCTGTGCTGTTGTGGAGCTGTTCCGCCCCAGCATTGGCGTTGCTCTTTCTTTGAAGCTTCTGTCACTGCTTTTCATTGGGGGTGCCTCCAGCTGTTACCGACTGACTGCCTGCCAGTTTGTAGATGGCGAGGATCGCAATCTTGATACGCAGGCGTTCTACACCGTATTTCCACACTTGAAATGCTACATGGGGACCGAAGAGGACGTGAAGCAGAAAGGCATGATCAGCACCGTGTTTTGGCTAACCGCATTTGCTTACAACTTTCTAATCCCTTGCTTCCTGCTTCGTGTCATGGCCAGGCAGCATGTCGCTCTGCAGGACACCCGGCTGTTTGTTGCTTGCTCGGCATCAGATAGAGGCAATACCCAGATCTTGCGGCTTCAGCCGCTGGGCATTCTGCCACCGCTCGAGAAGGATGACGGAGCAGATCGGCATTTGCTGGCAGCTGCCGTGGCCCACATGGTTGTCTACATGCATGGTCCGGTGAAGGTGGAGCTGGTGCAGGATGCAGTCCACGTGACGCCTCTGGAAGACGCGCAACCTGCAACGCTCGAATCGCATGACTTGGGGACTCTGCTGGCATCGCGGCTGGTGCCCAAGCATAAGTTGGATGTGCAGCGTGCCAGGAACATTCAGCAGATGCTCAGCGAGCGCGGTGTGCTGGAGACCACCTCCGATCCCCTCCTGATAGGTGCCAAGACGCTCCTGTCCAAGTATGCACTCGGCGGGAAAGTTTGGATGGAGGTTGCCGTAAAGCTTGCCTCGGTGAATTTGGCGGCTGTCATCTCTGGCGACTTTGGGTTTCACCTGGCCGTCATCTCCACACTATGCATGTCGGGAGTAATTTTGGTGCTGTCTCCATATGCTTCCCCACAATTGAACATATTACACAGCTTCTGCTTCCTTTGCCTAACTTTGGGAGCAGTGGGTTTTCTCACGCAGCAAGTCCTTCTGTCTCGATTGGCCCTGGTTGCGCCCTTTGTGCTGTGCCTGTGCCAGGCTCGGCAGCCAGATAGCTTAGAGTCATTGGCGTTGCGCATCTATGAAGAGATGGCCGGGAAGTTGGCTGAGCTTCGAGATGGAAAGCCTCTACAAGCCAGCGTGGAAATCTTGAAGTGCTAACTCAAAGATTTGGCTGAAGCACGTGCGCGCTGAGCTTCACGGTAAAAAATGGCGTGCAGCCCTTGGTTAGTCGCCTTGCACGTCCGTTAGTCAAACGAGATGCGGTCGCCTGACTTAGTTTGGCGTGCACTGGCCATGCATGAAACCAGGGACGGAGAAGTTAAATTACTCCTGCACGTCTGCACAAAAGAATTGCGCGCGCTGATTTAACCTGGCTCTGCTGTCTTCGACGATTGACGACGATTCTTCTTTGTCGGCATGCGAGCGTTTGTCCTTCCAGCGCTGGCTTGAACTCAGCGGTTTAGTTATCCTATGGAGTTTACGACATGATGCGTTCAGGTCATGTGCAGTGGTGCCTTTCAGCTTTGCATCTTGTCTTGATTTACAAGCAGCCTGAAGCGACGCTTACCTAGACTTTCAGCTAAACTATTCAGGATATGAGGATGGTGTGAGTCATGGTTTATGAGTCAGCCGCCCCTTCCCGAGAGAACGTTTAGCCAGCACAAAGCATCACGGGCGCAGCATCTGTATTTATTGGTAGTAGGGCCTTTGGGGCCCAAAAGCCTTAAACTATGAGTCCTTTGAGGGTAAGGGAAAAGGGAAAGCCTTAAGCTATGAGTCCTTTGAGGGCAAGGGTAAAGGGTTCCTTTACGCGTCTTGAAGGGCTCCCAGAAGGCTTCTTC